TCCTCTACTTCAAGTTGATCTAATAACTCAAGCAACAGTGGGTTTTAAAAAACTTAAGCTTTTACCTTTATTTATTTATTATCAAGTTGTAATTATATGGTGTTTTGATAATATAATATAATAATTCTGAAGTATTATTAGTTAGGGTGTTTTACCATGAAACCTGTATTGTGGACTTTTTAGTTAGTAAAAAATATTTATCTGTAAGCAAGAATCTGTTCAAAAAAACACCTTCATGTACGTCATGTGCTGTTAATATTCGTTTTATCGTTTTCTTGAATATAATATCTTCAATACTGCGTAAAAAGTTTGATCATATACTCCTGCTCAGATACAATTCATTGAAAAGTTTGTTTGTTTTAGAACAAAGCCACATTGAGCTATCTGCTGTGTCCGCCGCGAGGAACCGAATCCTGGATTTTAGCGTTGGAAGTCCGTAGACTTACCGCTGTCCCACCGGGTGACTCATTGGAAAAAAAAAGTACTTTTATCGTTAAATCTTATGTATTTTTATATGGACATCCATAGTAAAATGTTTGCTTTCAATAATACATTTTATTGAATGTGTGCAAAACTCATTAACTATGAATTCAAACAGATATCTGATTTGAAACTGATATAGGTTTTTCTAAGGTTCCAAATATAGCACTTCACGTGTTATTTTAGTCATGCAGTTGGGTTGAAAGCTAGAAAAAAAATGTATTAAGCGTTGCAGATGAAGGTGCAGTTCACGTTTTATATACAACTAAAATTGAGTGGGCAGGATGTATTCTCGCTAGACTTTTGTGTCTTGACTGACAGAGCCTCTGTAATCAGCTTTCTTTCACTTTTTTTCTCGTCACCTTTTTCTCGGGTATCGTTTCTATAATCATAAGTAGCATGGATGCCTCTCTATCTATCTACCTATACCTATCTAACTACCTATACCTATCTAACTACCTATACCTATCTATCTACCTATACCTATCTATCTACCTATACCTATCTAACTACCTGTACCTATCTAAGTACCTATACCTATCTAACTACCTATCTATCTACCTATACCTATCTAACTACCTATACCTATTTATCTACCTATACCTATCTAACTACCTATACCTACTTATCTACCTATACCTATCTAACTACCTCCTATAACCCTTTACTGGTGCTATTCACTGAACTTATGAAAGAAATTTCATCCATATATATAAAACTACGTCACATAAAACAGTTTTATTTCCTTCTTGCCGTGATTTAGCAAGAAACCTACCTGTACTTAATAGAAAGTCCAGCGTTTCGTGGCTTGCTATGAGGAAAATAATGCCTCCAATTAAACACCCTACAAGTGTAACTATATTCAGTGACATAAATTATCATTTACGTATCCGTTCCATGCAAAGCATATCGTGAAAATTGGTGATAATAGTAGCTTCCATTATTGGAATACCTTTCTTTAATTTCCTTTGCTCAACATTTGTACTAGTTTTGAATTACTTTACTATAAACCTACGAGATGCATTGTCAGGGATCATGAATTTCACGTGATGGAGTATGATTATATACAAGTTACTGTTCTGAGTTACTTCACTTCTGTCGATATGTAACACGAAGAGTGGAACCCTAGATGGTTGAAAACTTTGTTTCTATAGTGCAACCACTTTTTAGGTTTAATTTTAACTGTATTTCCCTTTTAAATAACTATAAAAGAATGATTTAAAAAAATCAATAGCTTAACAATTGATGAAAAATACAACTTGAGTTTCCTTAGTCCTTTTTCTTATAGAATGCTCCTTATAGCACACTTCTAATAATATAAATGTTCCGAGCCTTAACAATTGATGAAAAATACAACTTGAGTTTCCTTAGTCCTTTTTCTTATAGAATGCTCCTTATAGCACACTTCTAATAATATAAATGTTCCGAGCCTTAACAATTGATGAAAAGTACAACTTGAGTTTCTTTAGTCCTTTTTCTTATAGAATGCTCCGAGCCTTAACAATTGATGAAAAATACA